CCCATGCCCAGGCCCATCCAGATGGTAAGGCAGCAGCAAGTTCCCTTTTGCTGTGCTCTTAGCAGACAGTGTCCCTCGGGCACAGCAGGGAATACGACATCCACAGAAAGTGGTAGCCCTTCTCCCTGAAGACTCTCCCCCTGATCTGCAACACATAAATTCATGCCTGCAGGAGGCTCTTGGCAAACTGGCTTGTTGCAGGGCGTTACCCATCCCTGAGCATCCATCCCTACCCTGTCCTTCCCACAGCACCAGCAGTGCACCCACACCCTGCCATAGCTCCAGGGTGTCCCAGAGACAGCAGGCCCCCGAGCTGACGTAGCCCTCAGGGGTCCTCCAGCCCAGGAAGGTTTGCAGTAAAAACGTGTAGCAAAATTGCAGGAGGAGGACCAGCACAATCTCTCCATGGAAGAGGAGGAACCGCTTCTTACCTGTTTCCCCAGGCACTCCTTGGACCTTAGGAGCAGGTTCTTCCTGGCCCTGAGCTGCCAGCAGAGATAGAAGGACCAGGAAAAAATCCAGAGCCAGCAACTGCAGGTCCATGCTATCATGAAGTCCCCAGGCAGGACTGAAATCTCAGCCCCACTGGCTGCTCTGAGCCCAGGCATCTGTAACTGACTTGCAACCACAGGAAGGAAATAGACATGTGGGGAGATCTCTCAAGACACAGGAGGCTTCCGCTTTGGGTAGGGAACTCTACCCTTCATCACTGAATTCAGTGTCAGTGATGCTGCCTTTTTTCCCCAGGGACATGCAGGCTCTGGTACTCAACAGAAGAATCCCCATCACCAGATCCCCACGCTTCCCCCCAAGCCTCTCTTGGTTTCCCGGGTGCATTCAAGAAGCATTGCTTCTGTGTCTGAGGCCATATCCATGTGCTTCCCCATGCCCTGCATGCCTTCTAAGTTGTGATGAGTCACTGCACTTCCCCTCAATGGTCACAGGAGATGGAGGACCTCTGAGAAAGCACATGGCAAGAAGCAGGGATAGGAATGGGGATGTGAACTGCAAAGAGTACCTCAAGGCCTGAAACAGTCCTCTGCCCTTCTGAAAGACACACTCAGGCCACACCCTCTCTCATACTTCCTTGTTCCTCCATCCCTTGCTGCCGCCTCCTCCTTCCCCCCCTCAGCCAGGCAACATTCTTCTCTGTCCCCAAGTGTGCAGACCACCCTGCCATCCCCATTGCTCCTCAGCAGCTCCTGCTTTTCTCTTCTTCCAGAACCTCCCATGGGCCCACCCAGGATGTCCCTGCTTATTGCAGGGGGGTTGGACTAGATGAACGTTAGAGGTCCCTTCCAACCCAAACATTCTATGATTCTATGATTCTATGTCTCAGATCCTAGAGATTTGGCATCAGACACAGGTGTCTGAGGGATTAGACACAGAGAGTGCAGAGGAGCCAAGACTATGCTTGTCCCTCAGCTCTGCCCATGGCACATGCACAGGACACACTCCTGCCTGGGGCAAAAGGAGAGCACCACCTTTTGCTGGTTCCCAACACAGACCCCATCCAAATGCCCATCAGAGCTGCCCAGGACAGCCCTGAAAGCCTGGGGAGGCTGTCACCCACAGCTCCAGACCATAGCAGCCCTGCTCATGGCCTCTCCTCAACAAGGTGCAGCTAGCTTAGCACCCCACAGACAGCATGACCCCACAAGGGCAATGAAGGGACCAGGCAGGAGCTGGGAGGTGCACAGATGGTCCCCTGCAAACCACAAGTCTTTATTGGTTGTCCAGACAGAGCAGGCATTGTCATGAGGCCGAGAGGCTAGGATATGACTGGATACAGGGATATGGAGTGGGGAACAGGGCAAACCAGGAGGTGGCAGGGACACAAACCAATCCTCCATTTCCCCTTACCCCAACCCTGCACATTCTCCTTTCTCAGCCAGTAGCAGCAACATGAGGTTAAGCTTCCTCTTCCCTTCACTGTCTGATGCCCATCGACAGCAGCTCCATCAGGCATGCAGGTCACACCAAATGAAGTCCATGAGAAGGAGATGCTTTGGTCCCAGGGGCCAATTGCAGTTACTGGTCAGACAGCTCATATGAAGGACTGTCAAAACACGTCTTTACTGGCACATGCAGGTCATCCCAGGGTAACAAAATGGCTGGAGAAGAGAGCAGTCAATTGCCACATCTTCCAGCAGCATGGTCCTCACCAGGGAGAGCCTTCAGGCTGTCCCTCAACCCCCAGGCTGCACTGGGCACAGCCATCCCTCAGTGCTGGAGAGGCAGAGGCTGCTGGAGGCTGCACCAGAGCAGTAGCAGCTACTGACATCCAGCAGATCCCAAAGACTGCAGGGTGGGGAATTCCCAAGAGGGACAGGGTCTACTGTACCTCACAAAATGGGATACGAGCACAAACATCCACAGAAGGGTTCACAGACAGACACAGAGGTCTGGCTAGGCCTAGCTGCTGGGTGCTTTACAATTACCTGAAAGGAGCATCTTCTCCAAGGTAACAAGCGATAGGACGAGAGGAACTGGGCTCAAGTTGCACCAGGGAAGGTTTAGGTTGCATATAAGGAAGGATTTCTTTCCTGACAGAGTGGTGATGCATTGGAACAGGCTGCCCAGGGAGGTGGTGGAGTCACCATCCCGGGAGGGGTTCAAAACACATGTGGACATGGTAGTTCAGGACGTGATGTAGTGGTCATGGTAGTGTTGGGTTGGCGGTTGGGTTTGATGATCTTAGAGGTCTTTTCCAACCTTAATGATTTTGTGATTATGCAGAGGAGGGAAAGTAGGAACCCAAAGTGTTGATCTGGAAGCACATGGCTTCTCAGACATGCTTCCTCAGGGCTGCCAGGGACTGGAAAAGCCTCATACAAGCTACTCCATGAAGACTGACAGGGACAAAGCCTTCCCACACAAAACAGGGAGGAACCATGACAAGGTAGGAGCTATCATAGGGCAGAGAGCCCCTGCAAACCAGAACAATTTATTGGTTGTTTAGACACAGCAGCACAGCTGCAAGGTCAGCGTGGCTGGGCCATACCCAAGCAGAGGCCAAGGTCTAGACAGATGTGGGGATACAAACCGGGGAAAGAGGGGCTGGGACTCAGAAAGCTGCTTTGGTCTCAGGATACTTGCAGGCACCAGGACGCGGGTGGGATGGCTCTGCCAAACCACTGGAGGACTACCAGAACAGGTCCTTGCTGGCACAAGCAGGCTGTCCCAGGCCTTGGGCTGTTCTTGCTTTATGGCAGAAGATGCTGGATCTTGATGAAGGAGGAAGTTTAAGGGGGAGCGATAACCCAGCACAAGCTGTACGAGGTGCAGCTTCCAGAGCAGGAAAACCGAGCCTTGAGAAGGGACTATGGGAAGTGCCATCAGCACTGAGCCTCAGATGTCCACCCCGTCTTCTCTCCCTCACTGTTCTGACTGTCTCCTCCAGAACTCCAGGACAGGCAAGGGCTGGGGCAATGGCTTTCTAGCCTGGCCATCTGTACCTGCAGAGACCAAGGACACCCAGGGCAGAGGCTGCTGTGCGCCCCTTGCAGGGTGG